CGAGCGAATAGACAGGCTCGTGTGTGCAATCCTTGCGTAGGTGCACTGCGTTGTACACGCGAAAGAAACGCATTTCAAATTGTCATCGTCGCTGATGAGGTTTGAGGAAAAATCGTTCGCCTCCCGACACGCTTTTTCCTCTTCTTTTTGACAAGATAATCGCGCGCTCGTTGCGATTCGATGGGCGCGCGCGAACTCTTACGTGATTTTCCTGGCATTATGCAATATAAGCGTGCGCATGTGTACGTAAATGCACTCGAAGTACGTACTTGTCTGTACACGCGCCGTACGCGGTAAAAGTGAATTAGAGGCACTCTTATTAACGGGAAAGTCGACTATGCGCACGACCACGAATTTAATAATAATATATTTCAACCGGTACATATACTCTCTGCTTGAAAATCCAAAAGGCTAAAATGCGCGCGTGTAAATATGCTCGCATGCGACGCGGGAAAATAAAGTACCCTCGCTCGCTGCACCGTATAAAAGCGCGTATAATAAAAGTGCACGCGCGTCGCGTCGCGCGCACAGCTAGCCCAAAATTCACGTTGTATATGCGTATATGTATTTCATATACTCTTCGGACACTCGCATAATATACAGACACTACGCGCGCTTGATGCAGCTTTATATATGCTATATATATATACCCTGTACCACTACGACTTTACATATGAATATTTTACGGGCTATATTGTGTATATATGTTGGTGAGCACGCGCGGGAGTGGAGCGAACCCGTGTGTGATTCATATGAACTTTTTTTCGGCCTGTATAATACAGACACACACAGACGCGCATCCATCAGGACACATAATTCATTGTTGAAAGGATTAATGCTGACGATGATGAGCAGTAGCTCTGCTCGTGGGAACTATGTTGTGTGCGAGCTCGAGCATCGTATGCATAATCTGCGATATGTATTTTTCGAGTGGGCACGATCGCATGCAAAGTGCGAGTAATCAGCGATACGTATCAGGCGTGTCGTGTCTTTTTTTTTTCGGTGGCCAGATTTTTTTATTTATTTTTTTTTATTTTTATTTTTTCGTTTCACGCATCAATCGTCCCTGCATAGTAATGGCTGTATCTCGATATATATACAGGCGCGATATCACATACGTAATCAGTCGTGCAACCGAAAAATATTTTATCTGCGATTAATCGGTCACGATAAAATATAGGTACGCATCATTTTCAGCTCGACTCTCCTGACATTTCCTTGTGTAAATATCCTGATTTTGTCACGCACGTCGATACACACAAGATCAAGCGCAGCACTGTTTGCTCTCTCGCTCGGATTGATAAAATAAAAAATATTCTCACAGCGGTTATATTATGTGTGTGTGTGTGCTTCAAAAAGATTTTTACCCTGCGGCGGATAGCAGTAGTAGCAGTAGCGATGTGTGTAAAGAATTATTCGAGAGTTAAAAAAGTCTCTAGCATAAATATGTACGCGTACATGTAACCGCGTGTAAGCGATCCGCCGTCGAGCAAACGTACGAAATAATTCACTCGGCTAGAGCTTCCTTTGGCTACCTGCACACAGCTCCGAGCCCTTTCTTTCTTTCTTTCTTCCGTTGTACGTCTGTTCCTCGACGTTCGGAATCATCCCGTTCTCTTTCTCTTCGTTTCACTTACTTTTTTTACTTTATTTTCTTTCCCCGCGTGTCTTATAAGCGCGTCGTAAGCGTCTTATGTGTATTTTATATTTTTATTTTGCGTCAGTCGGCCTTTCGAAACTTAACTACGACGCGGTGCGCTGTCGCTTTCGATTTCGGAACGACGACGCACACATTCTAATCGACTGGGCATAATACGATCGTCCTGTTATTATTATACGCGCGCGCGAAAGAGTGTCTCGAGTTTACCGTTAAATTTTCGCTGAAAAAACGAAATAAAACGCATAATAATCCTCCCGGTTAAAGAGAATTCAAAAACAATGAAATCTGTGCACCTCCGTAAAATAAAATAATGTATGTGTACAAAATATTGTAACCCCACACCTCGCGACTCGTGACCTTCTTTTTTTACTCCTCCCGTAATGCTGTCAAGAGGCCCCGAGACACACAGCAGTAGACCCGCTATAAAATGCATATTTCTTTGCACTTCAGCTTATCTTTTACGTCATCTTTGCCACCGCGGCAATGGCGATTATCTTTCTTTGCCGGGATCACGTTCCCCGGCTTTCGACCATGCGCGCGCGCGTTTTCCATATATAATACGGAGCAGCCGATGCACACACAGAGTATGCAACGTGCTCGAAATTTCGGGGAAATTTTTCTCATATGTGGCCTATGTGTGATGTTTCAAGAGGCCAATCGTCTCTTCGCTTTTATTCTAGAGAGAGACGAGACAGTCAATACGTTATCAATGATCCGCATCGAGTTTTATCTGGAGTTATGCCCGGTTGCGTGTATATCCCTTATTGTATTCGATTCCTTATTATCGATTCGATGAAGAAACGTTAAGACGTCTCTTCCTTATCGCGACTCGCGAGTATGTATTATATTATATACGTCTTCGACATATTTAACTTTTGATTTAACTAACCGATAGCTCAATTCACGACTTTCTCGATCGCCTTTTTTCTCTAATTTATTGCTTTTCTATATCAGCATAGAAATGTAACCGACGAGTTTGAATGGTAAGCACACTTATCAATTCTTATGACGTTATTTACACAGCCTCTCTACTAACCTCGGCGTCTTCATCAATTTCTATTCTCTAATGGATTCCTCGCGTGTTTTTCTTTACGGTGGCGAGCCATAATTTTCACTCTTTTATCTTTTTATGTTCCGTATACTTCAATATGCGTGTGTTAACGCCAAGACGTATATAGAGAGAAACGTCGTTGAGTCGAGCCAAGAGAGAGAAAGAAAACGTATTTGTACCTCGTTGTGCATTCAAGACGATTCGCCACGCTTAAGTAATGATATTCCGTGTGGTAGGATTTAAATTGAATTACAAAGTCGTCGCGGCGTTGAGCCGGTGTTTTTCACGGACGATATTCTTACTTCACTACTTATATTTTGAAAAAAATTATACTCGAGCGCGTTTGATCCTATTTCGTAGAAAAAATTCTAAATTGAGTTTACCATACTACATCGAGGATATATTTTTTCTTACATTGTAAAAAAAATCCAAAACGATGATCGCGACGCGATATAATTAAATATTCTCATAATAGGTACGCTCAAGGATATATACGTACGTTGCGTCGTTAGACCATCCGTATTATTTTTAACTTTGTCATTACGCGCGTGCGATCATGATTTTTTTATCATTCAATCTGCAAATAAAATTGCGGCCTGCTCGTATTCACATAATAATGATTATCATCCTCGGGTAGCGCGAGAAATAAAATCGTACACACGTTTTTTACGTGCTCGACTCCATATATACGCCAGAGTTTAAATGCTGACTTTGTTGATCCATACCTTTCCGTTTAGTGTTTGACGGGTATCAGTCAATTTTACCGGAACTAAGCTAGCCCGCAGTAGTTCCGCGCGGAATTTCCAGTATTTTTAAACAAATCGCCGGGCTGGCTGTATACGACGGTTCTCCGAAAATATATCTACATCAGCTGTGGGTCGCGCGCGACGCACGCCATGTATATATACCAAACCGATGCCGAGAAAAAGAAGGGCACGTACATGCGAGCGGCGATTTTAGCGCGTCGTGCTCTGTGCAGTCAGTGTAGCACAGCTCGAGGCTGAAGCGAGAACGAGCGCGCGAAAATGCAACTCTCCCGCTGTGGGGAAGGTCAAAGCGGGGTAAAGGAAAGGGTACATAAACACAACGCAGAAGCAGAAATACACGCATGGGCGAAGTATGCGCGTGCTAATATATTATAACCAAAAAGGAAAAAGAGTCCGACTGCTGTGCGTTATATATTCGCACGCGAGAGATAGAGAGAGAGAAACAGAGACACGCACAGAATAAAGATCATTTCGAGGTTTAAGAAAGCACAAGAGAGCCGAGGCAGAGAGGGAGGAAGAAGAGAAATAAATACAAACACACGCTGGCCGAAGATGTACAGACTACGGCACAGGCTATAAGCGAGGTTGGTTTTCTCGTTATAAAGGCCGAGCGAGATGCGCCTCTCGCAATATTATTCGCGCGCGAGAGAGAGAGAGAGAGAGACGGGAGAGTCGCAGAAAATGCGAAAAAAGTCGTGGAAGGATATAACAGAGAAACCAGTTGGCAAATAGCTTACCAGTGATTTAATAGAATCGATGTTGTTCGACGAGATATGTATGCGCGCGCGAGTGGGTAAATAAATGCAACGAACGACTCCGACTCCGTTTTCTCGTGTACGTATGCGTTGAGCGATGCTTTTAACGTGTCTCTTTTTTTCTTCTTTTTAAATACATTAGAAATATTTACAAGACCGATTGTGTGTCGCTGCTCTGTCCCCGACAATGCGATCGATTGTTCGCAAATTTTTCGGAACGAAAACGGCAGAAAAATTACCCGTAATTGGTGTAATACGTATTATCGATTAAATGTCGATCTCTGCTCGGTATAGAGAACTTGGAATAACAAACGCGTGTATGTGTGTGTGTGTGTACATATGGTCGACTCGACTCGCGCTCGCACACGTCAAACTCGAATATACATATGAACTCTGAATGAACCTCGGTGTATGCTAAATTTAATTCAAGTAACTACATTATTGTCATGCTGTTACGAGCTGCTGCTGCTGCTGCTGCTCTTCTGCCTCTCCTTCTGCTGCAGTGATCTTCCAAGAGAGTGATTGGATTAATGCGGACTTCCGCTTTATTCGCCCATAAAAGAACTTTCAATGAAGAGCATCTTTAGACAACACTAGCAACAATTTTCTCCGCATCAACCTGAATTTTTTTTCTGCTTACTTGCGTTATCGTTATCATTGTTCGCGAATCATACACGGTCATTAATGGGAAAACCAAAATCTGATCCGTGTGCTCGTGTAGGCGCGCGCGGTCACGAAAAATTACTGATATCCAATAAAAAAATTACCTGATCGCCGAAGGTGCACTTGATGAAGATCAACTTTTGCGGATTGATGGTGCAGTCGCAGTCGCGCTTGGTGCAGATGCCCTGGGCGCGCATCCAAGTGACGCGTCGATCGGACGTCGTCGTCGTCGCGGCGGCGGCGGCGGCTACATCGGCTACCTGGCCGACGACGATCAGCAACAGCATCAGCGTCGCGCCGATCGACCAAGACAACGCCTTACGACTTTTGCACGTCATTTTTTCCTCTCGCTGCTGCTTTTTCCTTTCTCAAATTTTTGGTCGGCGATTTTTCTTTCTCGCTCTTTGCACACTATAACAACACGAACAACAACGAACGAGAACAGCGACAACGACACTCGATCGACATGCCTCTATTCGACGACGAGGTGTGTGTGTGTGTACGATGGAGAATCACAATAACGCACGAGTCGCGCACTGTGCAGCAGAGCACACTGTCAGCTACAGCCGAGCCGGTGTTGTCGTTATATCTTCATTTCGTAAATATGACGCGTGTGCGCGAAATATATTACGCGTTAAATTTTGTAATTACAATGCCAAAAGCAACACTTTCACTCTCGAACGAAGATGCGCCTGTCTAACGCGCCTCGTTTACGACCGATAACTTCACACAATGTATTATATACAACAACACAAGCTGCTAATAGAAAGGCAGTAGTAGTGGCAGCGGAGAACGAGCGGAGTGGCGAACGTGGCGATCGCTTTGGAGGCCGCATAGGCACTGCTCGACAGAGAGACACTCACTCTCTTTTCTCGATCGCTGCCGCTGCCCTGCTCTCTGTGTATATACGTGTGTCTGTGTGTGTTGCTGCTTCGACTCCGAGTTTTTCGCCCCTTCTTTATAAGAGCGAGCGAGAGAAAGATATAGACTCGTTATACACGGCAGTGTTATTATACGTCACACAGCTGCTTGTTGGGTTCTCGCTGCTGCTGCTGCTGCTCTCTTGTGCTTCCCCCTCCCTCCTTGCGGCTCCTGTCTGTCTCTCTCTCTCTCTCTCTCTCTCTCTCTCTTTGGTGTACAGGCCTTTTAAAACAGGCATTAGCTCACTCGGTTCGAGAGCCTCGCGTGCTATAATGTATATACCGCGTTCGACTGTGTATTTCTGTTTGTGTGCGCTTCGTACACACATATAAATACACGCGTAAATAGAGAAGAGACCTGGCTAAAATCGAGGGAGTTTTGTCGAATTGCAGTGCAATCCGACGGCGTCTTCTGCTTGGATGATGGCTCGTTGCTGCATCGTTGCGCAAAAAATGTGTATACCTACTTAAAAGTCCGCGGCTTCGTTATTGTTGTACGGGTATCGTCCGAATTCGAGCTCGATCGCTCGCTCGCAAAAAAAAATATCAAAAAAAAAACATTACGAATGCACGGCATCACCGGCGCCGTGCTCGACTACCTGTTGCTCGGGGCTCGGCAGCACGTTGTTTCGCCCACGCACCCAGACACACACACACGACAGTGGAGTCGAACACGCGTATTAAATATGTGTCACGTCGATATTCGCCGTCGGCGGCAGCCGCTTGACCGTTCGAGTTTGTCACGCGCACCTATTCTGGACGGTGAATATTTGCATTTAATCTCGTTTTTAATAAGCGCGAGAAATGGTTGTTGCGCGAACCTAAAATAACATATCGATTGCGTTGGTCGTTGAATAATGCGTTAATCGATCGCGACGTTTATAAACAACTAACAACACAGCAGTGTCTGTAAAATTGACCAACCAATTTGCGCGCAATATTTGCTGCTGCGCTACTGCACCGACGCGCAATTAAACTTTCGTGCGTTAATTAACCGTGTCGGGCTTTTGTTTTATATAAAAGCTTACTCGAAAACGAACGCGTGTCAGTCCGCGTCGAGGCCCGAGGCTATGTATATTTATAAATTAGAAAAAACATTATTGCATAGAGCTTCAATAGCCCGAGCATCGTATTAGATCGCCGAGCTGTAATTGCTCCTGTATGTTATTAATTTTTAAATCGTTATTAAAAAAAAATGACTCAGACTGCGACACTCACTCGATGATTGATACTGTATCGCGTTTGTTATTTCTGTTAATCAAGATAAGCCTGCAGCAAGCGTATGAAATGCGATTAATACTCTTCTTTTTTTTCATTTACATCGACGCGATGACTGTGCTTGCGCGTTCGTTCTGTCTCTGTTCTTTTTTGCGTTGCAGCAACTATATACACTCGGAGCTGCGCGTCTAAATCGGAGTCGATATTCCATTCCCCGCTTGCCCCTCGCGACGGCTATTCTTTCTGCGCATCTCCTCTCTTTTTTTTTCGAGTTCGACCGTGTCTTAGGCCTGACCGAACTCGTCGTGGTTTTATATATTAATGTACGGTGTTATTGTTGTTATTATTGTATCACGTATACCGACGGGACGAAATCAAAACACACGATCCGCTGCTTCTGGTGACTGCATCGTCTGTATATGGAGAATAGGCGAATGATTGATTCGTCGGTAGTACGTCTCATTGTCTTCGCTGCCTAGGCTCAGGCGTGATTTAGTCAAAGGATTGCTCTTTTGCAAGTAATATACGCGTGTTTATTCTAACATTTCTAACGCCAAATTAGTTAACAAATTTCATGTTAAAATGAACAGGCGATTACAATTTTTACGATCATGTTTTACGGTAACTCGATTGTATATAGTATCGACAGGCTTTACCTGTAATTGACAGAATTTTCGTGTGGGAAACATCACACACGCGTGATTTTACGCTACAGCGCGCTTGTACGTTTCGACTTCATTAACTCGCGCTCGGGATCGTGTATATTGGCTCGATCGAATCAGTTATACAGTGTTGATGTAATCTCTTTTTGAATATCAAAGAGCATAATTGTGGCGCACTTTCTATAAAGACACTCTCGGCACGTCGTCGCGGTATCGCGCCAAAATGGATCTCGTCGATCTCTCGCTGTACACGCGTCTTGCTTTTCTTTTTCGTAAATTCGATATTTCGACTATTTTTACGACGGTAATAATAAAACTAGTTAATAATGAAAGAATGAAAGATTCTCTCTCTCTCTCTGAATCGCACAAAAGAACGCGAGCAATTAAAAAACAAATGCAGAATTTCATATAATATTAATATACCAGACTCGCGAGTCTGGCTATTAAAATGAAACTTCGCAGAAAGCCATTCGAATTCTTTGCCATCCTTGCCTCCTTCGCACTACTTCCACGAGCTCTGTAGTAGTAGTAAGGTAGGTATAACGTTCGCGCGCGCGCGCGGAAATTCTCGGGACACGAGATGATATGCGCTACAACTGCTGCTACTACTACTACTACTACTACTGCTATACGATTCGGAAGTCCAAAGTTCCGCGCAGCAGCACGTGCACTCTGCAACTGTCATTATTTTTCATAACAAAACAAAATTATCACCATCACGCGCGCTCGAAAATTTTAATTTCCCATGAGAAGGATTCCCACCCGTTCGCGTGCGCCTATCAAATGTGCGTTCGTCGCTGTGTTTGTTATATATATGTCGTATACAGGATGACACGTGCTATAGGCTACAGGCTAGCTCTTGGCTTTAGAGGAGCGAGAGTTTCTCATCGACCTCTCGCGCGGGGACTCCACTCGAGTATATATATGTACTGCAGTTGTATGCGCGGAAGGTCGTTTTCTCCGTTTGGTACTTAGCGGAGCACGCGCGTACTGTGAAATAGACTGCTACCTGTCACCGAGTGTGAATCAGCGCGCGCAGAGTGAAAAACGAGAAGAAAATAATAATGGACGAAATCAAATGTCACCCAAAAAAGCGTGGGAGAGTCCATTATTTATATATATACGCATTGAAAGAAAAATCCTGGCATCGACGTAACGACTGCAATGACAAGTGCGCGCGATCGTCGCTATGTAGCACAGCTCAGATTCCACGACGGCTCGATCTCTCGCGTCTCCGATGACTTTGATCCGGGGAGCCTGGGATGGGATAATTAATGGCACTTCCATACAGAAGAAGTGTCGGTGGCGCTGGTTAAACAGACCTCATTAGATCGCATTAGTCTTAGATTATTTCCGTCCAAGCACGTTTCCCATAACGTAATTAACGAAACTTTGTACATATACATATATTTCGAACGCGCAGCCTCGCGCTTATTAATTGTCGTTACGTTGCGATTATTACGACTCGACTGATACAAAAAAACTAATCGAGGCATTTCTCAATTTCTCTGATTTCAGCTACCACTCGAACGAGCGACTGTTTCTGCGGGACTTGGTCTCGTGTACTCCCGGCACGAGCGGCGCTCGTCTGGCCCGATGGCTCCAGCCGGACAGCTTCGTCGATCCTGGGAAATGCGAGATCGTCTACGCTCGCGAGGAGATGCGCTACGGGTGGCCCGCCGTCGTCACCCTAATTACACGGGATCAGTATGGAGAAGTCGTTCACGTGCCCGGGCTCAAAGTCAGTTTTTTTTCTCATGCCACTTATATTTATTAGACAAAAGATAGTAGTTAACTCTTGATCGAAATGAATTTTCATCATCATCCGACGATAGATCGAGGCGAAAGCCGTGCCGATCGACAAGCGCGACCTGACGAGCGACCCCGAGCAGGGCAAAAAGATCCGGCGCGTATCGCAGCCCGACCCGATGACCTTCGGCGGTCACTCGCAGCCCTGCCTCGACACGCCCTACGAGGTCACCGTGCTCGACGACCCCTACAAAGTCAGCTTCCACGCGATCAGCATCATGAAGGCCTATCGCAACTACTCGTTCGAGGAGCTGCGCTTCACCTCGTCCGCACTCAAGAGATCCAGCGAGTCGATGATGGTGATGCCGAACGGCGACGGCACCTACAGGGCCACCTGGACGCCCTTCTCCGTCGGCTGGTACTCCATACAGATCAATATCGACGGCTACGACATGGAGGACGTGAGTGCATTTAACGACAGTTTTGTATTACGAGCATCTTCTTGTAGTTTGTAATATGATAATTTTCATGCAGAACTACAAAGTGGAGGTGAAGCGGCCGCCGCAGGGCATGGAGCTACCGGCGCTGAGCATGGCCAAGAAACCGCTGCACCTGCCGAATCGGCTGCGCAAGTTCATGGCGAAGAACAGCGCGGGCCTGAGGATACGGGCGCATCCGTCGCTGCAGAGCAAGCAGATCGGCGTGGTGCCGACCGGCAACACGATCGTCTACTGCGACGAGGTAAATCGATTATTATTATATCTCGTTGCACAAGTCATGAATTGGATCGTTCAACTCATTTTTTCATTACTTTTATTTTTTCCGATCGAAAGATTCACAACGACGACGGAGTGTGGCTGCGGCTGAACGTCGAGACGATCAACAAGTACTGCAACAGCGGCCACTTGGAGGCCTGGTGCCTGCAGTACAATCAGCATCTGGGCAAAACTCTGCTGCTGCCCGTGGAGGAGCCGAAAGCGTCGTCGTATCAATTGGCCCGAGAGACTCTGGAGAAGAAAAAAGCCGAATTGAACGATGAGTAAGTGGTTTACCTCGCTCGCGCGCGCGCGTGGCTCGTCTAAAAACATTTCATATACGATCGAATTCATATAATCCATTCGAACGACACGAATTTTCACAGGAAGAAAAAATCCGCCGGCATAAGTCGTGGCAAGACAATGGCCGTGGTGACTTGCGGTGCTTCCGGTCACAACATCAGAAGCAGGCCAAGCTTGAAAGCTGGAGTTGTCGGGATGTTGGCTCTGGGCAATACCGTCACCGTTCAGGAATACGTAAGTCTATTTATTCGTTTCATTGGTTTTTTTTTTGTCACGCTGTTTGGGTGTTTAGATCGTCTGTCCAGCCTCGGTAGAGTCTGATATACGATTTGATGCGCGAATGCAAGTGCAGGTGCAATGTTTATAAAATAAATGCATTTGCGTTTTTATATACTTGTGAATCTATCGATCACGCGCGATACTCTTTACGTGGACGATATATCGCGTCTGAGTTTGGAGCAATTATTTATTCGTGCAACGCATCGAACACTTCTGGATATCGCACGCGCCCGCGAGAGAAATTAATTCGTAAAAAGTGAGGATTCGGATTGAATCGAAACTGCACTGCCTACAGGCGACGTGTGTGCAACCTATACCTGTTTTCAACTATTTGGTACGGAAAAAAAAAATGCTAAAAAGTGACCGAGTCACAGTCACACTTAGTAAAAATAGTTCGATGGGCCAATTTTCCTTATATACTTGAGGCGAGACGATTTCGCGCCACTTACGAGTGCCGCCGTCGAGACTGGGCTTCGACGCCCTGCGATCGTTACGCGCAACTCATTATTATGATGACTATTAATATAAATATTATTCGGATAATATAGCGTGTTTTGAAATAATTTTCCCGCCAAGCGCGAGCGAACGAAAACGTTGAATGGGTTATCCTGCAAAATATTAATACCATCCAAAAATTTCGATGACGCTTCTTTAAATTTAACTTGTGTTTGTTCGTCTTCCTGTACAGTTTGGGAATAAATACGGCACTTGGGTGCGGATCGATAACGAATCGGCAAGCAAGTACTGTTTTTCTTCCGAAGGTGAGGCTTGGTCGTTGGCCATCAACAAGCACGGAGTCGTTTACATGAAAATCACCCACGACAACGAGCTCAACACGATGGAGAAAAAGCCTTTAATGGCCGAAGTTTCACCTCTGAATCAGGTAGGATATTTTTTCATACTAAATGTTTGAAAATTTGACGATAAAACATGGAATAACTTTTTTCGTTCATAATTCTTCAGACGCCATCGAAGGCGATATCGAATCACAGAAATCACGAAGCTTTTGCTTCGGCGGCTTCCGACGGCCAAGAAAACGAACAGCAAAATCACAAGTCAGAAAATTCCTTTCATAATTGTGTCGCATCTGTGGCACCGATGACCAGCGGCCGCCCAGTCGACGTTCCGAATAACTCCTTTCTTTTTGGTAATTATGGCGCGGCGGCGGCAGCAGCATCGGCGACGAAGCAGCCCCAGCAGCAGCAAAACGACTCGCTGGCGAGTCACGAAAAAACACCAACCGATTCGTCGATCAATTTGTCGAAAAATCATCTGAAAGACGGCAAAGCCTTCAAGGAGAAAGAAAGCGGTCCAGGTGCAGTGGGAAAGTTGAGCGTATTGCAAAAGTGGCTCCGAGGCGAGGACAAGAGTCACAATGAGAAGAAAAGTTCTCCGGGCAGGTAGAAATGCCTTCTTTTATCGTCGACGCTGGAATAATTGATTTTCCGAAATTCTGTGTCCACGTCGACGATCAAGACAATACGAGTAGTTTACACAGCGCTCATTGTTTCAGGGACTTTTCCGAGTTCGTCGGAGTTTCCGTGAAAGAATTGGTCAAGGCGATGGGCGAAAGTCGGCAGAACGGAAACGGAGCCACGCCACCCGATACACCGAGGCGAACGTCGCGATGCTCGTCACCGAAAAATCCGCCGATCTCTAGTAGATCGTCGAGTCCGATCACCGTGCCTGGTAAGACGATTATAGCCTTTGAGGCATTTTTCTTTGGAAATTCTTCTGCAGCTTAGCGCCTTCACTGTTTTTAATCGTTAGCTGAAAACACCGTCTTCTTAACATTAGTATTTTTTTGTCAAAAGAATTTATTTAGGTCAAAAGAAAAAACTTAAAACTAGTCGAGTGCCAATAGAGGAGATAATTCACCAAATAATTTTTTCTTAACAGTCGCGTATGTAAGCATGAAAAACGGTAACTTACTGTGAGTGACTTTTCCTTCGAGTCAAATTTAAAAATTTGTATGAAAAATCAAAATTATTCGATTTGATCGTTTCTAGAGCTTCAATCCCTCATATAACCTGAATGATTTTGCTTAATAGTTTAACTATAATAGCCATCTTATTATCTTAGCTGGGCCTAGTCGCCTACCTTTCGGTTCGGGACTCTTGCCATCCGCTGTAAATGTTCAAGGTATACCTACTGCTTCTCAATGTATTTATCAAGTTTTGCATGCATCCGTTCGTTTCATATAACTAACTAATAGAATTATGTTTTATACGTTGTATTTAATTAGAACTATGAAAATGTGCGCATGCGGTCACTGTTATCTGATAGTTTGCAACAATTTGAAGTATTATATCAATGTTGAAATTTTTGTTATAATTGAAGTAAGCGCATAGTTGTATATAATTACTTGGTTTTAATTTGAATTACGTAATTTCTTAAATTGGTATAACAAATTGCACTAAATTGAATGAAAATTATTAGGTACAAAAAGTACGTCAAAAGGTGGAGACAGTCCTGGAAACAGTCCAGTACAGCATGGCTCTCCCAGAAGTATTGGTATTTCGCCTCTAGGTAAGACTCAATCGTCTTGAGTAGTCAATTCACCGACAACCGAGTGACCTAAAATTTTCATATCCCTTAGAATTATTGGACTTACACACGACAATTTTTTTGGTAATATTTTTCGTAGATCGTTGAATACCGCATGATACGTAAATAATCGTAATCGATGCATTTGGGTTTCGTAATTGTGCAGTAACTCTCATTTTCATAAAACATTTTTCACCCATACCGATATCGTTTGGAATCAGCGCGTGATACGAATGAAAAAACCACATTGCAGTTTCAGCCGATAAAATGGTGGACAGCATATCGCAGCGACGCGGATCCACGCCGAGCGACACGTCGGCCCTCGTAAGCAGTTTGACGCGCGATCCCTCGCCCGGTAACACTACTCGCGGCGAGCTGTCACCCAGCCCGAGTTTCAGCTCGCTGCACATGCGCTCCGAGGAAAGTAACGTGAGCCCGCCGGAGACACCGCGCAAAGAATTGCACTCGAGCATTAGCTGCGTAAGTAAAAAGGAAAAAAAGAAAAAACAGAAGAAAAAGAAACACGCTCTTTTTTTACGACTCTCGAGATAAATGTACTTTAACGACTGGTTTTTTAATGTTTTCACTCTACCTGCATACTCACTTTGCATGATTCTAATTGCCCGTACTAAAAATAAAATGTGGGTCGAATGTTATTATTAAAGGACTCTCAAGACGCTCTGAAGAAGGTGTCGGAAGCTCAGACGCAGACCAGCCCCGAGAGCGTGACCACGGCCATGAAGGGACACTTCTCGCCCGTCAATGCGACCAACGCAACCAAGGAGGATCGACACCTGTCCAAGTTATACAGGCGCGATCACACCAAAGTTGTTAAGAACCGAGTTAAACGCGCAATATCGCCGGCCAACAATCACCAGATACCCAGTCCGAGTCGCACCTTGAATCTCAATAAAGAGAAGGTAAGTTTACTTCGCGTGTCATGTGGCAATTCGTCTTTGACGCGTCGTCGTGCGTGTCTTTCGACAGGTGAAAGAGGCCATAAGCCCGTCGGTGGCGGAATGCCTGCGCGCCGTGTTCGCTGCGTTTCTTTGGCACGAGGGCATAGTGCACGACGCCATGGCATGCGCGAGTTTTCTCAAGTTCCATCCGAGCCTGCCCAAGCAACCGACGACGACGACGACGACGACGACGAGCCAACAACAAACTAGCGGCGGTGGCGGTGTCGCGCGCCAACAGTCATCGACTTCGCCGGTGCTGGCGGCGGCCGATCGACGACACGAGATGATGACGCGCGAGGAACGAGCCCGACAGAGGTACTCGGTCGAGGTGTCGAACGACGGCAACTATTTGCACATACAGCCGAGCACGTTGGAGAGCTTGACGAGATCGGCCGCCAACGCCAACGCGAACAGAAGCCGCAAGAAGGCCGATTCTTCGGCCGGCAAGGAGGACGCGGTGAACAATGGTCAGTTGGCTTTTCTCGAGCGATACGTCTCAACGAAACGATCAAGTTTTCATTTGACAAATTGAATTTTTTCTTTCTTAGCCAACAAGCTCACGTCGCTGCCGGAATTCGCGGCCATCCTTCCGCCCGCGTTGAAGGGTTTGGTTCAGCTCTGGGAGGAGCTGTCGATCAATTGCCTGCAGGCTATCGATCAGCAGACCGTGGTCCCGAGCCCGCTGACTCAACCGCCGCCGATCAAGCTGGGCAAGCGCGAGGCGGCCAAGTCCTCGAACAAGGATCACGAGAAACGCCTGGAGAAGAAGAGCACCAGCGGTGGCTCGCGAAAATCCGCGCCCTCGGCCAAGGTGCAGCCGCAGCAGCAGCAGCAGCATCAGGTGGGACACGACGGCGGCGCTGCTGGTGCTGCTGCTGTTGGCTCGACCAACAACGCGGAAAAGGAGACGATCTGCGAGCTCTGCGGACTGAATTTTCCCCATCCGGTGACGTATCACATGAAGCTCATGCATCCGGGCTGCGGCTGGCACGCCGGCGGCAACGGCTACAACAGCGGCGGTAATTACTGCGTCGGCTGGGCAGGCAACTGTGGCGACGGCGGCGGCGGCGGTAACTCCTGGTACCTGCTGTGCGATACCTGCCGAGACAAATACATGAAGGTTCGATCTCTTTACATTTCTCAAAGTAGAGGTAAATTGAGTATTGCTTTGAGCTGTTGTATTTATCACAGAGTCGGAAAAACAAGCGCTATCGACGCGGCATCGGCGACGTTAATAAACTCATGTCACCGCTCGCTTCACCGGACAACGACGACACCCACATGATCGTCAAGAGCAACGCCATGTTTCTGCTTGATCTGGCCAGTGCGGCCGGCGTTAGTATACCCAAGCATCAACGTAGACCCTCGCAAACGCTGAGCTCGGTCGCCGAGAATCACAGTCCGCCCGAGCCGGCTGGTCCGTTCCCGACTCAGGTCCCCTTTCAATGCCTCCTGGCACTGGGAGTCAACAACTCGCAAAGTTACGAGGATCACGTTTACGAGGAGCTGTTGAGGCGGCAGAACTCGCTGCAAGATTCACAGGAAAATTCGATCATCTTGGCTGCGAATAGAAGGGTTCGTTAAGCAATTTTTCAAATTAAATGAACGTCATTAAGGAAATCAAGTTAATCATGATTGAATTTACAGCCTCTTTCCGAGGGTCCAATGAGCGACAGCGACAGTGACAGCGGAAAAAATCGTGGCATGTTTCACCGTTCGGTATCGATGTCTACAGGTGCACCGTGGGCCAAAAATTCAAACGACGGTAGAATCGTCATGATGAGAAAGAGAAACAATAGCAGCAGTGAATTAAACAATGGTACAATATATTATTCATCGAGTCGAGATTATTTTTCAACAATTAGCATGTATCACAACAAATTTTTTTTTTATCAGATGCTGGTTCATCGTTGCTGTGCTATCCCTCGGCTGCTCTGCAAAAACTATGCCCCAGCCTCGCTCAATCTGCCGGTACCGGGACCAACAACTCGTCGCTCGACGAAACCATCTCGCCCGCTCAAGATAAGCCGGATCTGCTCATGCGACCCGTCATGCTGTTCGTCCTGCAGCAGCACAACCTCCAGCACCTGCAGTTCGCCATGAAGCAAGCGCTCAGGCGCGCCGCCTGTCGGGTCTACGCCATGCAGGCGCTCAACTGGCTGCTGCGCAGCGTCACTCAGCCGATATGCCTGCACGACTTGCTCTGGTGGTTCGTGGCGTCGTTGACGCCGATCCCACCCGATCCCATGGACGTCACCGAGGACGACAACAGAAAGAGATGTCTGGAAAGGCGAAAGGATCATGTACGTATGGCTGTAATATTTTTTTTACAATTTTTGAGACTTAACTTTTGTATGTATTTTAGGATATGGTTGGTGTATGCGAGCATCCCTTGAGCGATTTAGTCATTGCCGGTGAGGCTGCAAATCCTTTACCGACGGCGTTTCACAATTTATTACAAACCATTGCCGATTTGATGCTTTTACCCGCACCAGGTAATTTATTGATTGTTTGACATCAATTTGATACTAGTTAAAAATGACAACAAATTTTTTTTTCAAAGGATCACCTTTGCAACAAGCAGCCGTTCGCTGTTGGGCAATTCAGTTCACCGCGGCCGATCACATGTTCCTACATCGTAGTCACGTCTTCAGTAACATCAGCAAAATTCTGTCGCGCTCCGAAGAGGAAGAAGATGCAGCCGTCAGCATGCACAAGAGTCATCAATCTAACTTGTCCGGACAATTTCTCAGCTCCGTCGAGACTCTGAAGGATCTTACTCCTAATGTTGCCATCAAGACTTCAAGTAGACAAGCCATGATCAGTAGTTTAATTGACAACTCGACTGAGACATTTTGGGAGTCCGGCGACGAAGATAGAGATAAAACTAAAACTATATCGATAACGTGCGCGCCAAGATCTTTTCCGAGAATGGTGTACATTCACATAGACAACTGTCGAGATTTAACTGTAAGATATGTTATTCAAATAATTTACTGGCCGAGTCTTGTTTTTAACAATTGTATTATGATTTTTAGCATAAAGTGTCTTCCGTCACATTTCAATCAGGCATCGATACCGACGAAATCGTCAAATTAAAGACTGTCGAAATAGAAAGTCGATCAACTGGGTGGGTGAACTGTCCAATTGTTAATCCTAGACACGCCGTTGTAAGCCTGGAACTCAAGGGTCCTGATAATTCATTAAGAGTAAGGCAAATCAGAATTCTAGGTGAAATCGAAGGAGAAACGCTGAAGATAGGCAAACAACTGAATGCAACAACAATTCAACAAAAAAATTGCGAAGCCGAAACTTTGAAGGTTTTCCGTTCCATAACATCTCAGGTATGTAATAATTTACTAAAATTTTAGAAATATGTGTGGATTAATTTTTATTCAACTTGTACATTTGATTTTAAAGGTATTCGGTAAATTAATACAAGGGGAACAACCAAACCAAAGTCAAAATTCATCCATCCCTTGTGACTCGAACAACGAAGAATTAGAAGAAAGCAATGAACTTCGCGAACATATGGTTGGGATTTTATTCAGTAGAAGTAAACTTACTCACCTGCAAAAACAAGTTTGCACCCATATCGTTCAAGTAAGATTAATTTCATTTTGAAAAATCTATATCGCTTGAATCTTTATTCATACCATTTTTTGTTGAACGTCTTCAGGCCATACGAAAAGAAACAACTCGGCTCAGAGAAGAATGGGAGACACTTTTATGCTCGCCGACTCCTGTTAACAGCGTAATGAGCGAAAACAGCGATTTACCCAAAGCCGCGGACACCTACTGCTTCGAAATGCTATCCATGGTATTGGCTCTCAGTGGCAGCTCGGTTGGAAGAAATTATCTTTCCCATCAAGGCGCACTTCTCAAAGATCTTCTGAGTTTGCTTCACACGGGCTCGGCTAGAGTTCAGAGGCAGGTGATATCGCTCCTGCGAAGGATACTGCCCGAGATAAAACCCGAAGCTTTCGCCGAAGCGATCGGCGCTGAAAAACTACCACCGTCCGATTTCAGCATTATATCTGCCGCTGACAATGGATACGCTTTGATGACGGAATTCGACGAACACAGTATGGCTATTATGGACGTGTTTCTCAGTTGCATAGCCAAAGCACTGACCGTTCAAGTGAAAATGAAAGACAAGGAAAACAACGGTAAGGCGTTGCAATCGGTTTCATTGGCTACCAGTATTCATCCGAAAAGTTTCGTCGGTGCCCGTTGGTGGCTGAGAGGCTGCATTACTCGAAAATTGGCCGAAGAAATTATTGTACTATTAAAAGACATGGCTACGGTAATTTTTTTTAAATTACTTTTATGTTTAAGGTTTATTGGACAAAAAATTAATTTTTTTCCTTTTCTCGTTAGGGCAAATTATCTGATTCGTGGGCATCCGTTACCAAAGCAGCTATAGCAGAGAACATATTGAATCTGACCAGAATGACCGAAAAGAATAGAGATCCTACAAAATGTTTACGATCACCCACCCTCTGGCTGGCCTTGTCATCTCTCTGCGTTTTAGATTCCGATCATGTCGAGAGATTATCTTCCGGTCAGTGGACTGGGGCCGATGGTCAACCACCACCTCCAAGAGTAATTATAATTTCAGAGCAGTTAAATTTTTTAATGTTCATTAGGTTCGACTAAATGAATTGAATTTCGTACAGCCCACTTGTAGCAATCACGACGACGGCGAGACGACGGCGATAATCCAGTGCAACGTTTGCGGCAATCTGTGCGCCGACTGCGATCGAGTACTGCACCTTCATCGACGCACGCGCATGCACACGCGCCAAGTCTGCAAAGAGGAGGAGGAGGCCATTCGCGTGGACCTGCACGAGGGCTGCGGTCGCATGAAGCTCTTCTGGGTGCTCGCCCTGGCCGACAGTCAGACGCTCAAGGCCCTGGTGGAGTTTCGCGACGGACCGCCGCAGAAACCCGTGGGCGCCACCTCGGGCGTCTGCCGATTCTGCGGCGCCACGGGCAACAGCGGCCTGCTGGCGATCGGCAACGTCTGCTCGGACCACGAGTGCCAGGAGCACGCCAAGAACGCCTGCAGCAAGGTGCACCCGTGCGGCCATCTGTGCGGCGGCGTCCGGGACGAGCGGCCCTGCCTGCCGTGTCTGCAGCGCTGCGTGCCGAGCTGCGACCTCAAGCAGGACGCCGACGACATGTGCATGATCTGCTTCACCGAGGCCCTGGCCTGCGCCCCCGCCATTCAGCTGCGCTGCGGCCACGTCTTCCACTTGCACTGCTGCAAGACCGTGCTGATGAAGCGCTGGGTCGGGCCGAGGATCACCTTCAGCTTCAGTCTCTGTCCGATTTGCAAGGTGCCGATGGAAAACGACAATCTCAACGAGCAGTTGGTCAGCGTCAAGAGCTTGTACGAAGATGTCAAGAGAAAGGCTCTCATGCGATTGGAGTACGAAGGTTTACACACGTGAGTGCATTCGTTCGATTTTATTTTTTAATATTTTTTTCTTCCCGTGCTGATATTACCTTTTTTTGTCGATACAGAGCCGAAGCGGTGACAACGGTAGGCGGTCGATACTATCAAGATCCAGCCTCGTACGCCATGGACAGGTACGCCTACTACGTCTGCTACAAATGCCAGAAAGCCTACTATGGTGGCGAGGCCCGCTGTGACGCTCAGCAAGCCGGCGAAGTCTTCGACCCCACGGAGCTCGTCTGCGGAGGCTGCAGCGACGTGGCTCGCGCCCAAATGTGTCCGAAGCACGGCACCGACTTTCTCGAGTACAAGTGCCGCTACTGCTGCTCCGTGGCGGTATTTTTTTGCTTCGGAACGACGCACTTCTGCAAACCCTGTCACGATGACTTTCAACGAGTCACGAACATACCCAAGAGCGAGCTACCCACGTGTCCAGCCGGTAAATTTTTGAGTTCGATAATCTTGATTTTTTTTTTGAGTGATTATCAATAATGAATGCATCATTTTTTTCAGGACCAAAAGCAAAACAAATGGAAGGAGAAGAGTGCCCGTTGCACGTGAAACATCCGCCAACGGGCGAAGAATTTGCTCTGGGATGCGGCATCTGCCGCAATGCGCAGACATTCTAAAATTCATCCAATCTTCATTCTAACGGACGATTATCTTACGACATAAGTCTAATATTTGCCATATAGCTGATAATACTTCAATCGAATTTCTATGATCGAGTGAGAACTTTCTACGTGTAATTGTTTCTATAGAAGCGCGTCGCCCGAAGAGCATCGAACATGATTTTGACAGGAATTGAACTACCGAACACGATGCTAGAGTCGAGCGCGCTTAACTTATTCAACTGAAAAATATGTGTGATAAACGTTATAAAATAATGATTCGTTTACCGATTAACGTTGTAACATATACCAGACAAAAAAATGTGACGTCGCTCGAAGAGCGATAATATCCAAAGACGGGATTCTTTCCATTATGAACTAAGATTTAAATGTGTACATGAATACGTGTTACTGACTGTTACACGTAAATCTCTGTGTGAGCGAGTTAATGTGTGTGCATGTGGTCGTAGAATCGGCCTTTTCTCTGTAGACTGAAGTATCTGATTATCCAAAAAAAAAAGTAAAAAATAAGTTGATAATTAAAAATTGAATTGCCTTGGTCGATTATAATACAGGGTGAACATGAGCTAGACAAATGTACGCGAATGTTTGTAATAAACTGTATTTGATTGTATTGATTTACGCTCTGCGAGGTTGTGTATAGTATTTTGAATTAGCGATAATCGTTATAGAACTTTTTTTGGCATTAAATTGTGCCGTAAACGTGTTCCGTTTATTTGTAAGTGTAGAAAAATGCCGGTGTGTACAGAACCGGCACTGCGATCTCTTGTTTATGCATTCCTGTGTTATACAAAGAAACCTCAGTTTTGTATTTATTTTTTTTTGTTATCGTTAGATGTATCTCATTTTTTTTACGATTTGCCGCAATTGTATTTTTTGTTGTTAGATGTATCTTCTTTTTTTTCGACAATTTTTTTGCCGCGATTGTATTTTTTTGTTTATCTTTGATAATGCTAACAGTGTCGTACGCGCTATGTGAAATGTATTATGCGCTACGCTGTAAAATCTCTAAATAATCGTGTAGAATGTTTCGTGATTGCTGTGAAAAAAAAAATAATGAAATTCAAAATCGAACGTGTTCTGAGCGATACGAGCGAATGCGTGTGTAATTTGCTACTAATAATTTGTTAAATATTTTGTCTTTCAATATGTGTGTACATTAAACGAAAGAGTTGAGAGTAAAACAAAAGCATCGTCTTTTTCAATGCTTCGAACCCCCTTCCGTCACCATTAACTTCGCAGTTATAAGCAGTTGACACACCGACTCCCAGGAGCACTTTGCGCGCGCCCGAAATCCTCGTAATTTCATAATTCAACGTCGCACGGAGACCCTCGAGCGTATCTGTACGCTGTAAGTAATATTTTCAAACTGTCATGCGCCAACCACCTGTGTCCGCGGCGAGTGCGAGTGTGCGGGCGCGCAAAAGACAGCACAAACACAGCACAGGACCGTGCAGAGTCGCCACCTGGCGAGGCCGACCAGCGAACTAACTTCCGTCCGTCTTATTACGGCATACGACGACTCGCTCATTGGCGGCGAGTATAGCGTGTGTGTGTACATACAATATATATACAAAATACAAGAGATTCTCACCAGAGCAGCCCAGCTATACGTACTCTTAATCCTGTGTCGCGCATCTCGTGGGTGTGCAGTGCTGCATCGGTGTGCTGCTGCTGGAGCACAAAGTGCGTATATATCTATAGATAGCGTAAATACACAGCGCCTGTGCGACGAGAGATCCCTGCAGTTGCCGAGCGAGTGTGCAGTGTTGTGTGCCGTGCGCGACGACGACGACGAGCGAGTGTCAGTGATAAAAGCCCCCCAAAGTGTGTGTATAGTTTCGCTCCGTGTGCCAGAGAGCTGTCTGTCTGTCTTCTCGTCGCGAACGCCGTTTTGGCCTGCTGATATCGGCGGTAAGTGTCGTTTTGTATTTTTTTCTCTACGTACAAATCTATACGCCTCGTATACTTGCGTAATTCGCATCCGCGGCACGAGCAGAGATTTTCGTGTGGCTCGCGGTGAAAAACTCGCGTGTCAAAAGCTCGCAGCCAACGACGAAGCGGAGCAAGTGGTAGGGCGATATATACATTTTCTTCCCTGCGACTTGTGTATTAAGCGTATATATAGACAGCGGCGGCGAGCTGCGAGCGTTTTCTGTCTGCTATGCCGTAGATACGCCTCCTGTATAACGCGTGTGTATTTACTGATCTTGTGTGTTTATGTATATGCAGCGTTCGACCGATCGCGTGCGCGGGGATGCCGATGTATACTCGCGTCATTTGTCGAACGCCAAAATTTCGTTCCCTTTTTCTTTTCATCAACACGTTTCTGTTCGAGAACACGCAGCAATGTACTGCGCATCTCTTTGTGTTTTTCATCCTCTCTTTCTCCCTCTGCTGCTCGCCCTCCCGCTCTCATTACGCCCCTCGTTGGGTTGTGTTGTGCTGCGAGCTTCGCAGTCTGCGCCGTTTTATACATAAACATTAATGCAGCAGCATGTATAAACGAGCTCACTACTGGTCGTTTTTCGTGTGCCTTGGGAGGAAATAACCGCGCGCGATTGATTGGGGTTATAAAATAAATAATTGCCCTGTGCAGACGAGCTGCAGAAGGAGAAAGAGGAAACCTGCATAAGCATGTGTGCGTGTGTGTATGCTCTCTGCGAGTCAGTCAGCACAACCACTGACCATTATGCGCGCTCTCTCTCTCTCTCTCTCTCTTTATAACCTCAACTTTTTGTGTTGATTATAGCAGAGCAGCCCCTCCTGTCTCGTTACGATCAGCTGCTTCTTCGTCGTCGTCGTCGCTCGTTTCTGTATAATATTCGTGCCATTATCATTCGTGACAATCTCACGATCGACGCATCGTCTTTGTTTTTGTACGATTCATTCAAATATCAACCAAGCCCGTTGGATTTTTTTTCGCTCGCCGGGCCGAGTTCGCGGCACCGAATCAAGTGGTTTGTTTACGCGATTAATGCGACAGCGAGTCGATACAGTAGGTTGGGCTCTTATACGAATCTTATTATTTTATCGCTGTATTATCTGTCTGTTAATCGTCTTTTACTAATGCCTCGACGACGTGTGTGTGTCTCAAGCACCGCATTATTACAATGCTACGTCTATATTGGATATCAATACGTAGTTTCGGTACGTGTGTACAGACGAGGGGTGAATACGTCACGCGATGTAATAGTGGATTAGACAAGTGATTTAGAATGAGGACATGTTTCTACTTTTCAAGTGACACCAACGGTATGGTGATTATTTCATTCGTGTAAAGTGATAAATTACTTATGTTTTCTATAAAAAAAATACGTTTACTCGATATGTTTGTTAACTTATTTTCTTATTAAATTACTAACTCGTTACAAATTGAAGAGAGATACTTATCGTTGAATAATTGCTATGCATGCTATACCCGTAAACTTCACCATATACATTTATGGTACAATTTTTATGCACCGAATGAAAGTCATATGCGACGTACGCATTACTCTCTCTCCCTGCATAAATTTCAAGGTCAAGCATCGGTCGTGTCGTTTTAATTTATTTATGTTCCGTTGCTCTCCTTACGTGATTATTTGCTTCAATAATGGACTACTCTCATTCGTTCATATATAAAATTGTTGCTGTGAACAGTGCTAATACTTCAATTTACATTGCAAATAATCATTTTTTATTTTGATTTCTAATAATGATTAATTTTTATTGAGTAGAAACAAGAAAAATAATCGCGGAAATTTTGGAGCAAGCAAAAGAAAGCTTTATTTTCGATGTAGCCCAACCAAGTGAACCACCTAAAATTAGAGTCTAAAATGACGTTGTCGAGACATATTAAGCAGTTTGGAATGAATTTCAAGAGTTACGCGAATATCGCACGAATTTCACGTAATACAAAGCGACGCGACGCGACTCGAACTCTTTGTAACTGAGCCGCAGTTGAAGCTAATATTCAAAAATAATCAAGCTAATGTAAATTTACTCTTTTCGATATGAGAAAATGATAAATCGTACAATCGACACCTGTAATTCGAGATCATGGAAACGAGAGAACGAGCCGGAAAAACGTAATAACGACAAATATTGCATTCCTACGCGCGCGACTTCAAACGTATCGAATCGCTTTCCGCATCAGTCGCAGCCAGTACAGGCAAAATCAAAACTGATCCGATTCTGACGTCAGTGTTCATTTGTGCCAACTGCATCGCTTCGTTTTTTTTTTTTTTCACTTTTTGCTTTTCGTTTCATATACGCGAGAGAGTCTCGTCTGTCAAGTCGAATGGAACGAAACGTTGTGAATTATTGATATCGGACGTTTCTACGCCGGAGTAGCGTCCGGATTTATTCGAAGTAACATTCGTAGATATATAAATGTAGTGGTTTTACGAAAAGAATAGCTCGACCGGCTTTTTAGGATTAGTATTCACTCAAGAAAGCTTCTGTGTACTACGTGTGATTTTTGACGCGTACAAGCTCAATAATTCTTTTTTCCAACGATGTATTTTTCCAGAATAAAATTAACGAAATAAAAACATTGCTTACCATTCATTGATCAAATTGAAAGTGATAATTTCCATTTGAAACTTTTTTTTTTAATCGTAAAAGCGCATTCACCTAGTTTTTGCATTCCTCCACTCATGGTTATCATTATCACTTAGCACTTGTTTCAAAAACTCCTTTTCTAATGGAAGCTAAGTAAAATAAATAAATAAAAACAAACTGTATCGTCGCACTCGTGCTCGAATCGAAAGTTATCACGCTGCGTTACGCACTGCGTGTGCGCGTCGCGCAAAAACTTTCTCGCGGCTCGTCGACTATAGATTGCCGAAATAAAAATAGTCATCGCTCTCGCGGGGCGAAAGTCGATAATAATAGAACATGCACATTGCACATTTTATAAACCAACGTCATCGTGTGATATCCATGCCATTTGTAATAAAAATAAACTGCACGCAGATACGTTTTTGAAAAGAATTTTCCGCGTCGTGTGTAGTGCGACGATCGGTCAAACGCGCGTTTACTTTCTGCTGTCTCATGTTTATATACATGTGTATTAATGTATAATGGAATCGAGGCCTAGCGCAACAACGCGAGTGAATGACTTCTTCGAGTCGCGATTGCAACTGATTCGCGAGAACAGTTGTAGTTGAGTTTGTATACTGGTTTATGTTTTCATTTATTTATTTATTTTATTTTTTTCAAATTAGTGCGGATGTAAGATAGTTTAGCGAACCGAATAAAAATAAAAATTACTGCAGATATAGGGCGCATTTATGCTTGCAGCTTGTTGATATTCCTCGAGAAGTAATCGGAAAATTACTCGAGCAATTTGTAGGGCTCGAGTTAGCTCGATATATTTTATATATCGTACGCGTTCTTCTATATAGTAAGAATTCGCGCGTTTGCCCGAATTGAGTAGTGTAGTGTACTCGAGGAAAAATTTCTCTACGCTAGGTAAAGCTGACGAAATCGCAATAAAAGCGCATCGTTTCTGAAATTAGATTTTTATCTCAATTATAAAAGGGTTCGATATTCTCATCGATAATGATATTCCGCATTACTTCTATGTATGCGTCCAAACGCCGCGTCCAACGCATCCATAGATAATTAAGACCGGATCGTAAAGTTTTGCGCTTAGTACCGCTTTTCCAAAGCAGCGGATAATGCGTAATTGTAAAAAAGGCGACTCAGCCTCTCGCATGCGTATACAGAAAAGAGAAGCTCTTGCGCGCATACATTATGCACTCGTTGGCAAATTAATGGGGCGAAGTATATGCTGGATAAGTACGAGACGATCTCGCCACAATAATAAATAGGATCCTCTAAATTACGTCGCGCTATGTAATGTTGCTGCATACGCGTGGTTTACGCATTGCGCTCGAGCACGCGAGAATTCGTACGCTGTTTTTTTGTTCCCCCCCGCGCACGCGGGAGCAACTGCAACGGGTTTTCGTGCAAGGTGCATGCTTGTGTGTATACTGTGTGTGTGCAGTGTGTTATGTGGGCATGAGGAAAATCCGCGTGTTTTTACCGCGCGCTTCTGTGGGGGATGACTAGAGCTCTGCTACTCTGGCGATCGCTTCGAACGTTTGACGTTGATTGTTCAGTTTAGGTATATAAACATTGAGCATTAATAAAATGCGTATATCCATAAAACGAACGAGAATGCTTTCCGATGGTGGAAAAACACCGGGTGAGCTGTACATAATAATTATGAAAAAAACCATGTGTGCAGATAAAGAGAATACTCTGCAGCGAGCGCGAAAAAGTCTCGAAAGAGGTTAATGGATATAATGTAGGCGAATGTATGCAGGTACACAGTTTTCTCGTTAAACTTTCTCGGATTATCGAATGCTGTAATTTTATTTTTCGCGCTCGCGAGCACACGACTTTGGATTAAATATTGTACCGCGAGGTGGACGATATGAGCGATGGATGATGTTTCCGCGACGTCGTACACGCTGCATATTTGCCAGTGTGTCAATGCCAACTTAGCCTCTTTCGACGGCATCGCGGCGATGATTATAGCTCCTTGCGAATCTAAGTCAATAGATATATAGATCGGAACATTCGCTGCAGTCACACGGAGTCACCTGCGTGTGCTTAAATGCGTATGTATATCATCACGAAAGTGTCAACAAGTGGAGTATATGAAGTCTAGGCGGCAGTAAAACGAAGCTGTGTAACAAATGTGTCTCGAGGCACGAACATCCGCACGCACACACGTGTGTCAGCTATAAACATATCGCGCGTGACTATACTTGACTTACGTCAAAATCAGACACATGTCTCTCGATGAGAGAGGGAAAATTAAGGGATCTGTCGAGTGCGTTGAACCTTTTAGGTCAGCCTCTCGAGCGCGTATATTAGAAACTGCGCGTTGACAGCTACGTGGTATAAAACCAAGTTTA